TTCTGACCTCATTATGGAAAATTACCAGAGAGGAACCCACAGAATGGATTGTTCAGTCAGGCTCAGTGAGCATTGGCGTTCAGTGTTAAAACCACAAGTTAAAAAAAAAGTATAGATCTTGATTTAATATCTTCTCCTACTATACCTGTTCTACTTAAAAGGTATATATTTCATGTCTTATTCTAAAATAAGAGTGAAAAAAAACTATAAAGTTAAAAATAACTTAATGAATATGTTCATAAATATAGATAAAAAGTGCTAGAAATCATTAAAAACTTTGAAATATGCCTTAAGCGATTGTTTTCAGTGACAGATTAAACAACCAATAGCTGGCACAGGCTGAAATTTTGGTCAGAGAGCTCACAGGCTGTGAGACGAACTTTAAGTTCTGCGGCGATGCGCCTGATTAAACACAAGGGGCGCTGGTGAGTAAACAGTACCCCTGAGCGCCATCAACCCGCCTGTAAATATACAAGAGAAGAAGAAGCTGTTAGAAAGGGGCGTTCCTCTGCTTGCTGTCCGCCATGCTGCTCAGCCTTCTCCGTCACAGCGGCCGCTGCCTGCTCACTCTCAGCTCGGTCCAGACTCTGAATAAAAGCTATTATTCCTCTCAGATGGCTAAACGTGTAGCTGTCGTGCTGGCAGGCTGCGGGGTTTATGATGGAAGTGAAATCCATGAGGCCTCTGCTGTTCTGGTCCATCTGAGCAGAGGAGGTGCAACTGTAAGTCTGCCTTATCTGTAGGATCTGAGCGAGGGTGGTTTAAGGTGTGAAGCGGAGGCTGGAAAAAGTACCAGAAACTAAAATTAACCACATCAGCGGTTAATCAGAATGATGCAATGTCTCAGATTGTAGTTATTACTGTGGTAATCGTCTTGTTTGTGGCCTGACCTCTATAAGCTGCTCAGCAACACTGAGTGACATTCATGAAGTTTAACTTGACTACAGGAAGTACAAACTACTGTTGTTGGTTTCTAAATGAAGGAAACACAGAAGTAGTTAATTAAGTTTCAGCAGTGTTGGTGATGGTCTGATTTGAATATTTAAATGAATAAATGAATTTGCTGGCTTGCTTCTCATTGGGCCTTTGTTGATTTATTCAAAGGATTTTATAGAAAACCCTCTAACTTTAATAGATTTTTTAGAACAAGCATGGGCAGTTGTAGACTAGGATCAACAGAGGCCAGTCCCCTGTTTTCATTCTCTCTTAACAGATGTTGGCCTGGAAGGGGTGGACTTATCCAGACTTTTCTAGTTTTGGTCTTGCACCCTTTTATGGCCCTTATACTCAGAACATAAATCAGTTTAAAAAACTAAACAAATTAAAGCTAATGTTTTAAGCTAAATCAGTTTAATAAAATATAATAGAATTCAACTTTATTGTCATTACATTGTCATAAGTATAAAGCAACAAAATTCACTCTGCATTTAACCCACCCCCTTGGGGATAAGGGTGGGTTTAGGGGTCCTGCTCAGGGACCCAGTCTTACCAAAAGGGATTTAGGGACCCAGTCTTACCAAAAGCCTAATGCCAGCTCAGTCGTTTAAATACCAGATCTGTTTAGGGCTTGGTATCATTATCCTTGATGAACACCAGAAGGATGTTGCTATGGAGCAGAACACTAGGGACCTTCACCTTGAACCACCCCCCGAAAAAAAACAAAAAACAAAACAACAACAATGAAAAACTGAGTTGCTGCACATTTCAGCTTAGCTTCAAACAGCAGCCTGGAGGCCAGTTAAAATATTTAATTCAATTCAGTTTATTTATATTGCGCCAATTTACAACACATGTCATTTAAGCCACTTTACAGTTCAACCAGATCATACAGTCATATGGATTGAAAGTTTTCTTTCTAAGGAAAACCAGTTGATTGCATCGACTGATTGACTCGAATGCAATCTCTCAGACTAAGCATGCTTGTAGTGACAGTGGAGAGGAAAATCTCCCTTTTAACATGAAGAAACCTCCAGCAGAACCAGGCTCAGTGTGAGCGGCCACCTGCCGAGGCCGACTGGGGTTCAAGGAGACAGAAGCAGAGATACAAAAGACAACTGTCAACCATTTGTCAAATATGCTCCACCATTTCTGATGAAGCATGCTCAAATATCCAACCTGAGTTTGATCTTATTCCAGTAGAAAAAAAAAGTTTTATTTACCTTTAACTTCCTGGGTTACTTCCCTTAATATGAACCGAATTTATATTGTTACTTGTTGGTAAATTGCTTGCTCAAAGGTTTTTGTCTCCTGCTTCCATTTCTCCTGGTAGCATTCTAAACTGAAACCTGAAACGTTAACATCCAGTTGCACAAATTCTTGCAGGTTTCTGAACGGTTTATTAGATTTTAATTTATAAATCCTTTTCATTTTGAAGCCAAGTTTTTATGCTGGCTCTCATACCGTTTGTTCCTGTCCGCTTTAAAGAGCTACTTCAGGTTTAAAGCTGACTATGCAACATTCTGCTCTAAATCACCTGCGATCCAATCATTGTGCCCTGTCGATGTTTATCCTGTGTGCATTCATCTTGCTTGTTGATCCATTTGTTTATATTTAAGTTGGTACCTTTTTTAGCTGTAAAACATCCTTCCAAGGTGGATAATTTTGCTATCTCCTTGCTTTAAATTCAGAATAAACAGGGCCTTGAGGGCTTTGTATTAAAATTTCATATAAATTAGGGCTAAAACAATTAATCAGATTAATCATGATTAATCAATTATTGAAATAATTTAAATAACTTAAATTCAACAAATTTAGTACAAAATCATTAAATGGAGTATAGAGACTGTAAAAAATGCCTTCAAACTGACAGAGCAACCCACTTAGAGTAGTAATTATATCAGAATTGTAAAAAAAATATATATCAACATTGCATTTAAGATAAAAAAAACAACCTTTTTCATCTGTCAATATGTTCTATCCCCAACTCCTCAAGTGAAAACATTTTAATTTCACTTTTTTTAATTTCGTAAAATAAATCTTGTTTAAGGAACCTTTGGCTATGTGATTATTCATTGATTAATTGAAAAAATAATCAACAGATTAATCAATTTCCAAAATAATCATTAGTTGCAGCCAAAATAGAAATCACTTTCTTTCTTCAACTTAGTGAGGTTCCCATTCGATTTAATTATGTTCTCATTTGTTTTTTTATTTATATAGTCCAGCAAATGTTGAACCATGTTTGCCAACTGCTTCTTCAGGTGCAGATGTTTGCTCCCAACGTCGACCAGATGCACGTGGTGAATCACCTGAAAGGTGAACCTTCTGGGGAGAAGAGAAACGTTCTGGTGGAGAGCGCACGGCTCGCCCGCGGGAACATCCAGGACCTGTCCAAGCTCAGCGTCAAAGACCACGATGCCATCATATTCCCAGGTTTGTTTGTTTTCAGAAGTTGGCCTGGAGGGTGGTGGAAGTGAAAGTTTTTGTCCAAAACCCTCTGGTTTTGTTATTTTTCAGGTGGTTTTGGGGCAGCAAAGAACCTGTGTACGTGGGCAGTGCAGGGGAAGGACTGTTCTGTAAACGAGGAAGTGAAGGCGGCTCTGCAGGCTTTCCACGGCGAAGGCAAACCCATCGGCCTCTGCTGCATCTCGCCCGTCCTGGCAGCCAAGGTGCTTCCTGGGTGTGAGGTCACCGTCGGCATCGAGAAGGACGACAAGTGAGTCTCAGTGGCTTCAGACAGTAAAACACCCAGAAAAAAATGGAATGAAAGAATTGCCCAATCCTGACTGTAAAAATACTTAATAACACTTAATACATCATAAGAAAGGTAATGGAGATTAATTTCCTAACTGCAGGTTTGGATTATTTATTTTTTTGTTTGTTTCTCCTTCCTCTTAACTCCGTGTGAAAGTGCCACAGAACCAAACTAATGAGCCCAAGTTCTTCTCAACGTTCAGACCAGTGAAGCTAAATGGCCACAAGAGTTTTGTTTTATGTAACAAGGAAGTGGTTTGAAAAAAAAGTAAGTAAAGTTGATGAGAAGCAAGTTTTCTATGAGAAAACCCAGAGAACTTGTTCCAAGCTCAGGCAGAGGCATTTAAAAGAAGCTGCAGGGATGTTTTATTTAGTTAGATATAGATAATTTATACCAGGGGTAACCAATTAAAAATCAGCGGCATCCGATTAAACAAAATCAACAGCTAATAAAGGTCCAGAGACATTTTTTATTATAATCCTTTACTTTAAACAGCATTTAACATCAAAATAAAAAGCAGGTGTTTATGCATCCTTGTTATACATTGACTTTTTGAATAAAGAATATAAAAAACAGAAAGTTTTTCCATTTTAAAATCTAAATTGTTTTTGAAGTACAGAGCAACAATCTTTCAGTTTGGTATATAGACTATTACCTGACTCACTTTTTTTTTTTTTTTTATAAAACACCTGAACCTTGAACATTATTTTTTTTCTATCTTCTTTTTCTTTCTGTTTTCTGTCTTAATGAGAGCAGTGGGCTTTATGCTGCCCTTCAAGGCTTTAAACCTGGGTTTGAATGGAGACAAAGCCATTCTCAAGCACATATTAAGGTGCTCATTATGAGCCTGGATCCATCCTGCTTCACAGCTGCAGGTTTAGCCAAACATACTCAGAAAATGTGCAGGGTCATCTTTGAGCACGCCATTTCACTTCTCTTTCACCAGTTCACCATGCTTCTTCCAGCAGTCCACACTTTCTCTGCTCTCTTTTTTTCTTTGTCTTCTCCGTCTTTCCCATCGACCGGCTTGCCACAGGTTTGCCTGCTGTGTCTAAAAGTAGCAGCAGCAGCAACCCAGACTGACAGCAGCTCATTGGCTAATTTTTATCCCGTGTAGCCTGGAGCCGGACGCTTTGGACAGCTTTACCATACACACATGAGAAGTGGTGCAAGTGACGTTTAGACACATGATTTAAATAACATTTGGTCCGAGGAGCAGGAGGCGGGTCTGGATCGGGACCCTGATCTGCTAAAGCCGGGCGTACTCTGCAAACACAGGGTTCCACCGTACAGTGTGAATTCACAGCTCATGATGCATGTTCAGCCCGATGCTCTGATGCGATCTACCGGCTCACACTGTACGTCTGAAAACCGCATCAGACTCTGTTCCGTAGTGAGATGGCGCTACTCAGACTTGTCTATCAGGAGGCCAAACGAGTAGAAGAGGAATATGACGCTCATTAGAGTAAACCGCACTGCTTTGGCAACTTGTGCAATTTTGTGTTGAAAGCCCTAAAAAGAAAAGGCGACAACGTATTTGGACAAAAACATGGTTACTATGGTCTGTTAATTTTAAAGAAAGAAACAGAATCAAACATGTTTGATTTTCTCCCGACCTCACGATTCCTGATCAGGAGGTGGTTGTGAGAGGCTGATCGCCCCTGGTTACCCCCTGTACACTACACGACGCACGATCAGGCTGAAAGTTGGCCCTGATAGGAAAATTCTCGCATTAAATATTTTTCCTTTTGAAAATTCCATATTTCTCAGAACTTTAAACTTTGTTTCCCTCCCTCTCTCTCGGCTCAGGTACCCGGATACTGCCGACACGGCTGCAGCCATCAACCAGCTGGGCTGTAAACATGTCAGTAAGAGCGTGGGCGAGAGCCACGTGGACGAGAAGAACAAGCTGGTCACCACCTGCGCCTTCATGTGCAACGCCCCTATTCACGAAATCTTTGACGGAATCGGATCCATGGTGCAGGGTGTCCTGAAGCTGGCCTGATCCCACCCAGATTGTTGAGGACTAGAAACGAATGCTGGAGGGTAGATTTGCAAAGTTCTGTTTGTAGATGAGCTGATGCCTTGTATGTTTGAAACTTATTAAAAACTCCTGAACCTTTAGCTTTTTGGGGGTTAATTCTGACAGATTAATCATGTTGGTTTTTCATTTGTTTCACAAAAAAAAGGCTTTATTTCTCGGTTTTATTTATTCTATAAATCAATCAATAAAACAATTTGCATCAGAGTTTATTTCACATCAAGCACTTATATATAATATATAAATATTTACATTGTTTGTAATTTAATTTTCCACCCAGACACACTGTATGAAATTGTCCCCAGTCAGATTGTTCTCATGCCGTACACCTGCTGATGAGCATTGCTGTTCATTCTCAGATACGAGCCTAACACTGAGCACTCTGAAACCTTCTCAATGTTCCCAACCACATCAATCACTCCTTCCACTCCCTCTGCACTCAACACCGAAGATGCATTCAAGCTGAACTTCTCCACCAGGTCTTCCTGACTCAGTGGCTTCCTCCAGTGTCCATAAAAGGTATTACACCTGGCTGTGCAGCTTTCCCCCTGAGCTGTTTCTATCTGGACCTCACAGTACATGTTGTCGAAGCTCGGTTGGTTATCTGCAGGCGTCTCAATCTCGACTTTAGACAGCAGCTCCTTCAAAGCAGGCCTGTTGATTTGATCTTGGTCGAAGGACGCTACCGTCACTCTGTTGTCCATCAGGGCTGAGCAGGCGTTGAACTGAAACGAGTGCCTGGCTTGATGCTCTGTGGTGGGTAAGGGGCAGTTGATGTATTTGGATGGAGGAACTCTGAGGGTGACTCGTTGGATCTGGCTGAGGTCAAAGATTGTCTCTTGGAGCTTTGCACGGGCAGACAGAGCAGCATCCACCAGCCAGTGCATGGCCAGATGAGCAGGGATGCGCTTGAACGCCACATCCTGATCTTCTAAAATCCACTTAAAGGCATTAGTAGCACAGTCTGGCATTGCTGAAGGGCTGTAGTCATTGTAGTAAACTCCCAGACCTCTATTCATGTCCAGTATGGCCTGGTTTCCTTCCAGTCCCATCGCTGCCAGCTGGGCAGCTTCTAAGCCTCTTCGAGCAGCATTCCCTATGTGGAGAGGTTTGGTTTGAGTGGCGGCGTTGGCTAAAGGTGCCCCAGCAGAGGAGGCTGCAATCGCCAGCGCATGACTGCACTGAGAAGGAGACAGGCCGAGGAGTTTGGCTGAGGCTGCGGCGCTTCCCATAACTCCAACAACACTGGGGGGATGAAACCTGAGGGTTAAAGACACAGCAAAGGGTTACTGGAGGACCAGATGACTTCTTCCTTCCAAATATAGACCAACAATGAATGGTTCATGCCTGTGAACAGATGCCACCCTGCAAGACTTGGTATTTGGAGCAGAATGTAATCCTTGATTGATTGACTTTATTGATCTCACAGTGGAGAAATTTCCTCGTTACATCAGCTCAAATAGTCAAAAAGAGACTATTTTATAGCAGGATTATTATACAAGGTTATTGCACTGGGTATCTACATGGGTATTTATATAGATATTTATATATATATATATATATATATATATATATTGCACTGGGTGTCAAATATGAAGAAACAGGTTGTTGCACAGAGTATTAAAGATGAAATGATGAAAAATAGATGAGGCCAAACAAAGGCTAACACTTAAAAAAAGACTGTGAAACAGTTTAGACTAGAGGTTCACCTTTAAGAAAGACAATAGCCTGAGCTACGATAACAGTTTAGTTTTTATCAATGCAAACTCATTGTTTACACAGACAAGTAAAATCTACATGAGAATCAGAAGAAAAACTGAAATTTTCTCTAGAAGTGAAAAATGGTAGAACCCTATTTCAAAAGTCCTGAGAGAGTGGCAGAGTGGTTTATCTGAAACATTTACTGAGGAGGGCTGAATAGAAACACGCTCCAAATATTTATGCTTTATCTAGACTGAAACAATTATTTGGACTAATCCTGACCAACTGATTATTAAAATCATTTAGTAATTAATTAATCACAACTGGAATATCCAGACTAATGCCTTTAACTGACAGAGCAAAACACTTTTACAATTTACCAAATGTATTAGAAAATATAACGTTTGGTCTTTAAAACAGAAAACTATTTTTTTGTCCATCATTATGCTGCATCAAGAACTTCACAAGTGGAATAGTTTTAGTTTCACTTGGTTTAAATGTTGAAAAAAAATTATCTTCAAGGGACTGTTCGCTATTAGATTATTGTTTCATTGAAAAAAAAAACAATCTTTAGTTCCAACTTTATATGTAAAAATACAAAAATCTGTTCCCTTAGATCCACTGAACAATTCTGTATTATTTTGTTTAGAGACTGTCACATAGAATCAGACAAAAATTTTAGAACATTTATGGCAGAAAATGAAAAACATGCAAAAATGTCCAGGTTAATTGAAGGCCCACTAATCCCTGATGAACAAAATTCACTTAAAAAAAATTAAGAGTATTAAAAAGAGAAACAATAATTCACTTCCTCCATAATTTATAGTCTTAAATCAACTTTAGGTGCTTTTTAATAATCTTGAGAATGAGCCTTTTTTAGCTCCAAAGTAAAAATTGATTAAGATTTCACCTTTCAGGGATGTTGTAGGCCTCCTTGGAGAATCTCATCAGCCGCCCTTGCACCTCGATGCCAACATTAAACGCCAACAGCAGGTCTAGACCAGAAGGCCTGCTGGGCAGCGTCTCCGCCAGCGCCAGCAGAGCAGGCAGAACGGCTCCAGAGGGGTGAGTAGCTGGATGCCAAGTGTCGTCAAAGTCCATGGAGTGAACCTTGGGTTACAGAGGTTATCCAAGATCCTAATTATACAGAGCTTTGCAAAAAATTTTTTATTTTGTCAAGTTAAAACCACAAACCCTGGTTTTTTTTGTTTTGTTTTTTTATTGAGATTTTTATTTTATTTATTTTTTTATTGAGATTTTATACTAGCACAAATAACATATCAATTTAAAGCGCACTTTGAAAATTTATAATGAAATAAATGAGGTTTTGACATGTAAAATTTTGAAAGGTTTGAGCCGGAGGCATTTTTCAAAAGATACTAAATTGGCAAACTTACTGCGATGCCGTTGACAAAAGCAGCATAATAAGGAGGCAGAGTTATCTCTGATCTTCCCCAAATACTGCTCCTGTATTCAGATGTGAAGAGCTGCAATCAAAAAAATTTACACAAATGATCTTTACTAAACAGTGGAGCTTCCAGGTTTTACTCACAGATCATCTCAGTATAATTATGACTTAGATAGATGGTTGTTTTGTTGGAAAAACAAATGATTTTACTCCTCTCGCTTTACCTGGCTGTACCTAAGAGCCTTTTGGAAGACATCTGTCCTGGTTCCTAGCAGTCCTACACCCAGGGTGTCCAACATCATCCTTTTGCTCCTGTTTATCACCACATCTGTCAGCTGAGAGGACCTTAATGCATGGATTCCTGCTCCAAAGCTCTCTGTAATACCCTGCAAAGGTGAAGCACAGCAATTCAGAGACAAACACTAATTGTTGCTAAAATATATGTAGATGTGGTAGAAATAATTAGATGAAGTATAAATATTTTTGAAATACAAATACAATGGAGTAAATTCTGCAGAGAAAATGCTGGAAAAATGTCAATCTCTCAGAAATCAGCAGTACCTTGCGCAGCATTGTTTGCACTCAGTCAGTGTCTGGTGTGAAGAAACAACTTAAAGGATGCTTGTCTTTTATAGTAAAATAACCTGCCCGAGGGCTGGTCTGCCAAATTTCCAGAGTGGCAAAAATCCAGCTGTCTGGTGAGAAGTGTGTACTTTCACAATGACTGGATGTTGCCTTATCACTTTTTTTGAATCTGACCGTTTTCAGAATCGTCCTGCAAGATGTTTTGCTTTTGCTTTTGTGGCAACAGCTTCAGCTGAAGTGGTACATTCAATTTGGAAATATAACATAATTTTTGGAGATGGGGATTAAAAACTAAAACTGAGGTTTTTAGCCCATATTAACAATGATTGCGTTTGGGAGGAAAAAAAAGGGGAAACTCGCAAGCATCAGAAAGTTATCACTGTCAAGAACGGGAGTGACTGAATCATGCTGCGGGAGTTTTATGCTGTAGGAGAGACTAACAGGCTCCACGGATTAGATGACATCATATGTAAATGCCCTTATGAAGAAATGTATAAGTAACATGTCACATATATCATCAAGTTTTTAAAGCTTGAGAAAACATGGGTCTTCCAACAGGCAGTGACCGTCAGTAAACAGCAGAAAATCAAGGTCAACGTTTTGGAGTGCCCCTATAAGAAAAGAAGTGATTTTAATCTGGCTGAAAAGGCTTAATATACAGTTAAAGGTGTCCTTTAAATGTATGTAAAAATGTGAATATAAGGGAAGAAATAAAACATTAAAAGCTTAAATAAATAATGTGATCTCTTGTTATTTGGCATTAGGTAAAACCAAATAATTGTAATTATCTAAACCGACCCAAAACAGGGAGATCTTTGTTTGTTTTAACTGTGGATAGTGAGAAGAAAAATTTGTTTTTGGTCTATTTATAGAATGAATTTTATTATCTGGATTCAAAAGTATGTAAATTTCTCATTTATGTTTTCAAGCTTGACATGCAACAACTTTAAATTTTATTGAATCCTAATGAATGCACATACTTTCAGACATTGAGTAAAGTTTACTTTAGATTTTTATTCAGGGAAATGTATTTAAAAAAACCTGCTACTATCTTTCATATTTTCTTTTACAATAATTGTATTTTATTAAAATCAGAGGCCATTGAAGTTCAGTGTTTGGAAATAGGAACTTCTGCAAAGGGAAACATGTCACGAGTCTAAAACAAGTCACACACCCACAACCACCTGACAAAGCACATTTCATTTTAAACAGCTAAAATGAGAACTCTTACCCAGCTTAGACCAGAGGCTGGAAATGGACGAAATTAGAAAATTACAAAAAATAGAATACTTTGAAGGTTTATGTTATATGATGTCAATAAAACAGATGTCTGACTGAACAGGATTTACAAAAATCACAGTAAAATGATGCAATCTTAGAAATGACAAGTTGCGGTTTAAAAAGTTCAGTTATAAAATATGCTTTAGAATTTCTTTTTCGCAGGAAAATAATCTCACCCTGAAATCTTTGATACATTTTTAATAAATGTATTGAATAAAAAAAAAAGAATCACTCTTTTTAATATCCTTTAAACAAAATGTAAGTAAGCCTTCAAATATATTTTTTATCTAATTTTAATTGTGTGCTAGTATCACTTTAAGCAGCACTGTGTGCATTGGTAGAGGTGGGAATTGGATCATCCCAAGCTCTGAAATCACAGGAAATTAAAAAACAAAAAAAGGAGAGCACTTATTTACTAAATCACCGTTCCTCCACAGTGATCTGACCTAAACGCTGCAGGGAGAGACGTGAGAAGAAAGAGCATGAGAGTGGATCCAACCCTCAGCATGATGTAAAGAAAAAGAGGAATGGTCAAAAGTCCTTCTCCATTGATGTTCCAGTCTTGTGCAATATTAGAGAGAATAGCATTTACAGCTGTCCTTATAGAAGCAGGAAGAGCAGAAGCACCAATGATGGTAGTTAATTAACAAGAATGTAAAGTAAAATTACACATGTGTCAAAATGTGTTATTTTCTCCCCACTGAATACATAAACTCAAAATTAAGTTGGTTTTAAAAAAAACAGTAATTAATTTTAAAGCCATTGAAACATCTTTATCTGAATTAAAAATAGAGATCCTGTAAATAATCTTCAGTTGTTGTTTAATCTTTCTGAATGCATATTTAATTAATAAATGTTCAGTGAAAATAAAATGTTTGCATTTTAAAGCCCCATACTAATCTTTAACCACTGAATTAAAAAAGACAAGTTTTGGAAATGATTTAGTACTGAAGTTAATATTAGGATAATTACCTGGATCAATACCCTTTTCATATTTTTCCCTTACAGTTCTTGTTTTTACTGAATACATCCAGTAACAAGGTTCCACAGCCTTTAGAAACTTTAAATGAGCTATTTTTATTTTTCCATTTTCTTCCCAATCATATTTTATCATTTGCTGGACAGAAGTTTGTTTCCACATTAGTCTTTCCACAAAAATCACACACTGTGTTTTCTGTAATGAGACATCATGCGTATTTAGATTATATTTCATTAATGTTTGATCTGGAAGACACCTAAGAAATATTGGCTCAGAGAACATAGGCTATGATTTTTATTCCTCTTTCGAGCAATCCAGTTCCCAACTTCCTCAAAAAAGTCCTCTGTTGTTTAAACCTCAAATTGCACTTCAGCATTTCATTCTTTTTGCTGTCAAACCTTAACATCACTCAGGAGGACAGGCACATATGTCTGGTATATATGTGTATTTCTCTCCCTATCCTAAACAATTTATGGACAAATAAGTTTAATTAACTTATTTGTCCATAAATCAGGGATAACCCCCCCCCCCAAAACAAAAAACCCATAACAAAGTCATCTGAAAGGGTTTTCCTTCATTAAAAAATTTCATTTTTTCCCAAGAGACTTCTTAACTCATGCTAATTTACATGGGGTTATAGCTGCTTTTAAAGGTCAGATTCTGACCCTTAAAACTGCATGGATAAACCATTTTTGTCTAATCATTGTGACCAAATGGAAACAGCAAAATATATTAGAATTGTGGAAAGTCAAACGATAGTCATACCGCACAGAGGCTGCATACAGGTCCTTCTCAAAATATTAGCATATTGTGATAAAGTTCATTATTTTACATAATGTAATGATAAAACTTGAACATTCATATATTTTAGATTCATTGCACACTAACTGAAATATGTCAGGCCTTTTAGTGTCTTAATGGTAATGACTTTGGCATACAGCTCATGAAAACCCAAAATTCACATCTCACAAAATTAGCATATCATGAAAAAGATCTCTAAACGAGCTATAATCATCTGAATCAACAAATTAACTCTAAACACCTGCAAAAGATTCCTGAGGCCTTTAAAACTCCCAGCCTGGTTCATCACTTAAAACCCCAATCATGGGTGAGACTGGCGACCTGACTGCTGTCTAGAAGGTCATCATTGACACCTTCAAGCAAGAGGGTATGACACAGAAAGATATTTCTGAATGATTGGCTGTTCCTAGAGTGCTGTATCAAGGCACCTCAGTGGGAATACTGTGGGAAGGAAAATGTGTGGCAGAAAATAATGCACAACAAGAAGAGGTGACCGGACCCTGAGGAAGATTTTGGAGAAGGGCCGATTCCAGACCTTGGGGGACCTGAGGAAGCAGTGGACTGAGTCTGGAGTAGAAACATCCAGAGCCACAAATGCACAGGTGTGTGCAGGAAATGGGCTACAGGTGCCGCATTCCCCAGGTCAAGCCACTTTTGAACCAGAAACAGTGGCAGAGGCACCTGACCTGGGTTACTGAGAAGCAGCACTGGACTGTTGCTCAGTGGTCCAAAGTACTTTATTCGGATGAAAGCGAATTTTAGATTTGGAAATCAAGGTGCCAGAGTCTGGAGGAAGACTGGGGAGAAGGAAATGCCAAAAATGCCAGAAGTCCAGTGTCAAGTACCCACAGTCAGTGATGGTCTGGGGTGCCATGTCAGCTGATGGTGTTGGTCCACTGTGTTTTATCAAGGCCAGGGTCAATGCAGCTATCAATCGGGAGATTTTGGAGCACTTCATGCTTCCATCTGCTTAAAGGCTTTATGGAGATGAAGATTTTATTTTTCAGCATGACCTGGCACCTGCTCACAGTGCCAAAACCACTGCTAAATGGTTCACTGACCATGGTATCACTGTGCTCAATTGGCCTGCCTACTTTCCTGACATGAACCCCATAGAGAATCTGTGGGATATTGTGAAGAGTAAGTTGAGAGACGTAAGACCCAACACTGTGGATGAGCTAAAGGCCGCTATCGAAGAATCCTGGGCCTCCATAAGACCTCAGCAGTGCCACAGGCTGATTGCCTCCGTGCCACGCCGCATTGAAGTATTGGATTTCCGACCAAGTATTGAGTGCATAACTGTACATAATTATTTGAAGGTTGACTTTTTTTGTATTAAGAAGACTTTTCTTTTATTGGTCGGATGAAATATGCAAATTTTGTGAGATAGAAATTTTGGGTTTTCATGAGCTGTATGCCAAAATCATCCTTATTAAGAAAATAAAAGACATGAAATATTTCAGTTAGTGTGCAATGAATCTATAATGTATGAACGTTCAAGTTTTATCGTTACATTATGGAAAATAATTAACTTTATCACAATATGCTAATATTTTGAGAAGGACCTGTATATCCATTCAATCAGATGAAGACATTTAAAACAGTATGTAAAATCATTTTTAAATAACTCATTATGTACATTATCTTCTGCTAAATAATATGGACTCCTCATACCTTCATTATTATAATTATTATTGTATTTTCTGTCTTTTCTGAGGATCTTTTGATGCAAGTCCCCTTAAGGTAAATCATTTGCTGTTTTTTCTTCTCCAAACTCTGAGCACATTTAGTTTTATGCTTTCCTGGTGGGGAGGCTGCATTTACATCTCCAGGACAATGGGTGGCACTCTTGCAATGTTTTATAATCATTTCTTCAAAGAAATAACAAATATCTTGTGAAGTGATCTGGGCATCTCTTTGATAATTGAAGTAATCAGGGGAAGATAAGCAGCTCTGTGCTGACAGTAATACAGAAGAATAATGACTCACTGGTAAATTAGCAGAAGCTGAAAAAACAACAACATAACCTTAGCCTATTTTGGTTATGATGACCAGATAGGGGAGCATGTTTCAATAGCTGGGTGCCACAATAAAACCAGAGGTCATAGGTCATCAAATATATTAGAGAAAAGCATTGGAGGATATAAAAGGACCTCAGCATTCATGAATAAATACATAAACTTCTTCCACAATATTATGCAGATGCTTCTAAGAAAATATATAGTTTTAATTGCCATGTTTAGAATATATTTTTACCTGATTAGCTAAAATAAATGAAGTGGTTTAGTGGTGGTTTTGATGCGTTTATTTCTATTAATTTTAATAAGTATGGCTTGCAGATAAAAAAATGTAAACTTAAAAAAATAATGAAAAAAACAATAACCCGAGGCATAAAAGGGCTTTTGACAAAATCAGCCTAATTTCAAATCAGACTGTAAGTCAGTACTCCTTTTGCATGATTACTAAAGGAAAACATTCTCACAATTAGGACTGAAACAATTCATTGGATTATTCATAAATAATCGATTATTGAAATAATCAACTAATTTAGTAATTGACTAATTGTTAACTGGAATATAGAGACTGTAAAATAGGCATTTAGCTGACAGAGAAACCCACTTAGAGCAGTATTTATATCAAAATTGTAAAAAAACAAAAATCAACATTTTAGATTCAGGATAAAGAAAAACTTTTCAGTCTCAATATGCTCTATGCAGAGCTCCTCAAGTGGAAATGTTTTAGTTTCACCTGTTTTTTTTTTCCTGTTAAAATCTTCTTGACAGGAAAACTACACACAAAATTGTCAGAGTTAGAGAATATTGTTGTCATGACCAAATCTCCTAAAGGACTCATCTCTAAGATTTATAGTTTACTGTCGGGCTCTGACTCCTCAGGTTATGATGCTATGAAGCTGGTGTGGGAGCATGACCTAGGATGTTTCCTGATGTTTCAGACCTTTGTCATAAATGCAAAATACATAGGGGGGCATTGTTAACTTTTGTTAATTTTTACATAAAGTTGTGAAAATCAAAAAGAAAAAAAAATCTTTTTTAAGAAACCTTTGGCTATCCGATTAATCAAAAAAATAATCAACAGATTGATCAATTTGCGTGACACATTTAACCCATAGAAGGACACTGATTTATCTTGAGAAATCTAAAGTAAAATCAAATTGTTAATAATATAAGACAAAGTTTATTGGTCTTAACACCATCTCAACACTGGACCTCATGTTACTTTGATTTTTTATCTTCCTTCCTCTAAACACTGGGATATTAATCTGAAATGCCAAACCTACCTTTATATGAAAAGAGGAACATCTAAGTAGATTATAGCAATAAATAAATAAATAAATAAATAAATCCTTTTTCCATTGTCATGTGATTGTTTTCTTAAAATAAAACACAAACTGTATTTTGGATTAGCTGAAATAATAAAATTAAAAAAGTGTTTAATGCATTTATCAAATTGAACAGTTTAATTGAATTAATTCACTGAAATAAATGAACTTTTATGTCATTTTATATTCAAATTTGATGGTGGTGCCAGTGTGGAAGCTACATTGGCTTTCCTCCTCTCTCCATCCTTGTCTGTCCATATTCTAGAGTGGGCAATAAACCACCGCATCCCCTACAGCAGCATCTCAACAGTTAAATGTTCATTTATCAGTCACCTCTGTATGGACGCGCACACACGCACATGGTAAGCCCAGGCTTCATAAGCAGGCTGCCTGTCAGTGGCACCTCCACTGATCCTCCTGCTGCAGCGCACAGCGGCGCACAGAACATGGCACTGGCCGATACGGAGCGCGCAGCGTCCGGCTGCGGGGAGTCTGGCTCCCCGTTCTCAGAGATCATCGAGCTCAACGTCGGCGGACAGGTTTATGTGACCAGACACAAAACTCTGATCGCCGTACCGGACTCTCTCCTGTGGAACATGTTCAGTAAGAAGTCCCCTAAGGAGCTGGCGAGAGACAGCAAAGGACGCTTCTTCTTAGACAGGGACGGCTTCTTGTTCCGATACATCCTAGATTACCTGAGAGACCTGAACCTGGTTCTGCCGGACTATTTCCCGGAGAAAAGCCGCCTGCAGAGGGAGGCGGACTTTTTCCTGCTGCGGGACCTGGCGAAGCGCCTCAGCCCGCGGATGAGTAAAGACAACTCGATCAGCGAGGATGTGAGCCAGAGCGACACGGAGGACGCAGCGCAGTGCTGCTCCTCCGGGGAGACATTACGCGCCCTGTCCACCAGCGGGGCCATGCGCTCCCCGTCTCTGGACTCCAGAAAATCCGGCTACATCACCATAGGGTACCGCGGCTCCTACACGATCGGCAGAGACATCCAGACCGATGCCAAGTTCAGGAGGGTGGCGCGCATCACCGTGTGCGGTAAAACCTCTCTGGCCAAGGAGGTGTTCGGGGACACGCTGAACGAGAGCAGGGACCCGGACAGGCCCCCGGAAAGATACACCTCCCGCTATTACCTCAAGTATAATTTTCTGGAGCAGGCGTTTGACAAGCTGACAGAGGCGGGTTTTCATATGGTGGCCTGCAGCTCCACGGGCACCTGCGCATACACCAGCAATGATCCAAACGAGGACAAGATCTGGACAAGCTACACTGAATATGTCTTCTGTCGGGAATAAACTCATTCGTGCCATTTTAATATAAAAAGTATAGTAAAATATAGAGAGGACTGTATTTACAGACAGGTATTGTCCTGGATAGGGGAGAGAATAACTAGATAAAATGAGGCAGCAGAAAAAAATAATACACACAGTTCTGACTCCAATTAACCTGAGAAAATAATTTTCAGGGTCTAAGCACCACAAAGGGTGTTGTTTTGTCTAACTTACATAACTCTCCGTTGTGTTTTCTCATTGCAAAGCCCTACCTTTTTTAAATAATAATAATAAAAAACACTTTTTACTTACTTTATTTAGAAATATAAATCTGATATAAATTGGATCAAATGGTTTTTACCCAACAACAAAGATTTTTAATTACACCCAGATGCATTACATGGTTTATTATTTATATTTTTCTTTTTTTTTAATTCTTCTGCCTCAAAATAAGAACAATACCCTCTTAACCCAAAATGAAAGTATTTTCAGCAAAGGGATCAACAGGTGTTAAATTACCCATTAAGTATTCAGCACTAATTGATAGGAACCTTTCTCTGCCACCTTTTTTGTAACGTAAATGTATATTTGTATTACTAATAGATTAATATGATACATTTTTAATTTGTTTTATAAATAATGCACAGTGGTAATTAACATTTTTTTCTCCAAAATTATTATTAGCTATTATTTAGTCCATAAACGAAGGATCAAACATGTTTAATGAGTCATAAGAGAATTTAGATTTGGACTTTTGACTAGAACGTATCCCTCATCAACTTGCCAGGGTCTCACTAATCATTGATTTGGCATTAGATCTTTGTTGAATATTTCAGACTTTTCTAAAGGTTTTGCACTAATAGAATAGAATAGAAATATGTTTATTTCCCCTATTGCCATTAGTGGCCTTTATTTGACAATTGAATTGACCTGGATGGGGTCAAACTTGATTCGGACCTTATACATCTTGCTCCAGAAAAGCAAAGAACACTTGATTCGGACTTACTTCTCAAGGATTTGTTAATTCAAACTTGCTGTTTTGAAACGTGAAATTGCTGATTTAAAGCAAGAAGCGTGACTCAGACGTATTTGTCAGTGACCTAACCTGAAGAACTCTTAGACCTGATTTGAGTTTGCAAACCACTAACCTAAAACTGTTTTCCAAACATTTGATGCTTGATTGGATGTTGAAAAAAAAATACATATAAACACCTCACCATCTGCCCCTCCCCCTGCATGGTAAACACCAGCGAACACCGCCATCTTCATTGCCTTTGCTATAGTCATATCTGACTCAGTGCTAAACTGTGTAACGTCCAGGAGCTGACGTGAACTGTTTAATATTCATTGTCAATGTACATTCAGGGCTTACTTGTTTGCCCACGTTTTGTAGTTTCTTCTAGTAGTTTTTACTACTGCAATGATCATTAATGTATATGTGGAGTGTTGGCTATATTTGTTAAAGTGTTCAGCCTAAATAAAGCCTTCTTCTCTTTTACTCCAAGGTCTTTTCCAATCATGTTCCTCTTATGATCTGCAACACATTTTTTAAATTAGATGCATTCAGCTTCCTCCTTTTAAATTCTACTCAGCAGGAAATCAAAGAGTCAACCTCAAAGAGAGACATGCCCTGCCCAGAAATCTCATCCCTACACAGTGCTGTGGCTCCAAAGAATTAGTTTCACTTTTCTAATTCTAAAGACATGACGTTGAACCACTTTTCCCTGGGTTCTTGAAGGTACTGTGTTTGTTTGCCTTTCAGCCAAGCTAGAAGAAAACCTCCACATCTGAATGTAGTTAGCATAGAAATATTGCTGGAGGATCCGCTTCGCTTTAGTCACACAAATTTAGCAGCATTTCGTGAGGATGCAAATATTGCAGCTGTGCACACATGATGCCATTATCATTTCAAGTGTAAATAATGAAAGGGTCCAGCTGCACGCAAATAGGAGGGTGCCGTCTGCCAGGGATTGTGAATGAATGGAGAGTCAGCCACTGGTCAGAGTACAGCCAGCTTTGGCTTATGTCTGCACTCAAAGCGGACACAGAAAATTGGTTGTTACGCTCCAAAATGCGGCTGGGATTAGATAACAAATAGCAGCGCCTCTTAAGGTCCTCGGAACACAGTTTTTGGCTAAAAATGTTGATAAAAACTGTATTTTTCAGGTTAAGCTTTAAATATTCATACATATCTCTGTGAATCTATAAATATTCCCCTTAAGAATACCTGAATTCTTACCCTTCCAGGATTATTCAAAAATTAGATTTTGCAAAATGCTTCATATAAATAAATATTTGGACCTAAACAGTCTTTAAAACAGTTTTCCTAATTTGATTTATATGCTGACATTGAGCAGCTCAGTACTAGTTCAGCTTTGTAATAAATGTCAAAGATTCAGCCAAAACATTTTCCATTTAAATAATTTTCTTATTCTAAATGTGTACAATTGTTTGTTTCTGTATAGGTAAGACAAAATAGGCTCAGAGAAAAGTGAAGGTAGACATTCAGGTTTTAAGCTCAAACACTTAGATGGGAACTTAAAACCATATTTATAAAACTCTTATGAACTATAGCCAGGGTGGTAACATTTCAATTTAGACTGATTGCTGGATTAAGCATAAAAAACCTTAGAATTTATTCCTTCTGCCACTGGATGTAAGGTGGAGTGACTAATGAAGAGGGGCAGGGCAACCTACAGCCTCATGGAGGCTACATGCTTACTTTCATTAAACTCAAAATGAAAAATGACTAATTAAACTGAGTTATACAGGTAACCAGTAAAAAGAAATAGGTTTATCTTTAGAAATCAAAGATAAAGTCCGAACTTATTAGATATTAGATAATGATAAGACAAAGGTTTTTGACCCTCATGTCACTACTATTTGAGTTTCAATCATCTAGCTGTAATTTTGATTTGAGGTTGAATAATTTTTGTGCAATGCGACAGGAGCCCTTAAACAAAAAAAAAAAAAACCCACAGCATGATGCTACCACCAATATACTCTATAGTATTGTACAGTTTGAAAGCCTCAAACAAACTCATTCAAATGTTACTTTTGTCTTTGTTGCCAAATTCTCTACATTTTGTTTCCAATTAACTTTATCGAGAAAACCTTTTAGAGCAGACTGCATAGTCTGAGCATGCAGATGTAAATCTAACCTAATAATGATCCCAAAAGAACAAAAAATAAGCATGCCAATATTAACTCCATAGTAAGTTGGCAGGCAGATGCTAAAGAGCTGGACATACTAGAAATAATAAATCACCAGTCCAACTGAGCCCTACAATTTCTGCACTGAGGACTGGCCAGATATCAAGACAGACATATAGCTACATTATGTTAATAGGTTCAAAAAGCGTGTGTTTGAGCCGTGACTCACTAAGAGACATTTGAGCAATTATTAGAAGGAATAGATGCATGTATTTGAGCCTGTATGTATGATTTTTTATGTAGATGGAACATAAGAACATCTATAAACTCATTTATTTTTCACCAATCTTGATTTTAAGTTTCATTTAGTTTGTTGAATAATCTCCACCTTTAAACAGTGGCTAAAAAATTTGTCTGAGTGGGTCAGGTGGTAGAAGTGATTCTGTAACTGATGGGTTGCCGGTGCAAGCCCCTATTCCATTAATCTCAGCCTTTATGTACTTGAGCAGACCTCTTAATGGTCAGTCTGCCCCAAAATATCTGTGGCTACAGCTTACCTCCATCAGTGTTTGTATGAATGACTGAATTAAGTGTAAAAACTTTAAAGGCGTACACAAGTACATGCCCTTTATTGTATATATAAATCATATATAACATATTTATTAGTATATGAATTATACATTTTATTTTGAGAACCTCTCATGCTAAAGTAACAATGTTTGAATATTTAATAAGTCTGTTCTTTTTCAGAGCTGGAAACAGACATTCAACAGCCCTGCCATTTTCAGAGATAGCTCTCTTTTAGTTGACATTTATTGCTTGGAAACACCCTCAATTAGAAATCAGTCCATCATCGATTTCTGAGTGCAAACAACAACTGACTCATAGCCCTATTTACTCATGAAATATGACTACTTCAGAGGCTCTCTGACACTTATCTCCTCTCAGATTGTGGGTTGGGATACAAATGAACATGTGCAGGGGACTGTCATTCACATCCGAACAAATTGTTCAAGCTGTTGCAGCACATGCACATTCATCCCTGCTGTACTCTTTTACAATTTCAGACATAAAGCCTAACTCTGTAGCCCTTGGATTATACATGTTGGGTGTAATGTTAAATGAGAAGATATGCTTAATAGTGTATTTTTACTGGAGTATAATTTTATATGTGACTAACATCTTTTTTATGCAATAACTAAAGAGTACTAACAGAAAACAGAAACAGAATGTCTATGTGTTTAGAATGATAGATAATAAAAAAATAAAGTTTATTTATAAGTTATATCTTTGGAATCAGTAGAACTAGCTGTGACCTCTCAGATGAGCATTACTAAGTCTGAGGAGTTGGCTACATTGTTGGCTTGTTAGAGCTGAAACTTTTCTAAGAGATTGCCAGAAAAGGTCAAGTGCAATTCTCAAAGCTTTTTATAAACTCTCTTCTAAAGTACTGCTCTAATAATCTATGGTCAGAGATTTTACCACCACTTTGAAAGAGCAGCATCCAAAGAGATTGAAAAACCCAGAAATTAACTATTTGGTGTGACTGACACTCTTTCAGAGGGTCCAAGGTGGCCCAGTTTCACAGATTGGGAGGTTCCTGTGCTACACATTTACACAATATTTTTTGTGGTTAAAGAAAGCACAGCCTGCATTAGTTCATCATCAAAAGCAACAAATTTCAGTTTACATAGGTTGAAAATTTTTTTCAGGTTTTTAGCTCATCAAAATATTCTATACAATACTGACTGTCACAACATGAACAGGTTCTTTCTATTGGATAATTGTTGTTAGTCAAATATTGGTTCAGAAGCTCATCTATGCATATATTATCTGTGATGTATTTCTGTGTGCAAAGGATTTCTAACCTTGTCAGATTAATGAGATCGATTTATTTTCTACTCATATACCGTAATCAATATTTTAGCTGACCTAGTTTCTCAAGAAACTAATGACAGACAGAAAAGTGAGTCTGAAAGTTGGAATAAAAATGGCCACTATTTGTAAATTATTATTGTGAACCACACTGAACCAGCATAAGGTTGGGGTTCCTATTTCATCAAATCATAATAATTTTAAAACATGTTTGCTGTCTTGCATAAAAGTGCTGTCATTCAGCTACACTAACCTATCTGATGCTGGAAAAGAAAAGTTTACATGTACATATCAGAAGCAGCTGTTGCTTCATTCTTCTTTTTAAGCTGTACTTGCAAACACAACTGATTTCGCTCCTACCTGCAACAGGCTTCGGCTCAGTCACATAACTATTTAAGGGCAGAAGCAGCTGAGCATAATTCTTAGAATGTTTTGCAAGAAAATATCAAGGGCGTAGGTTTGATTCCAACTTTGGTAGGGAAACTATTGGTCTGATGTCATTGGTCCTATGCAAAAATATGCATGCTCGTTTTTTTATGCTTGACATGAAAATCAGGGTGTATTTCATTTGAAGAGAAAAACATAATTTCTTGCTACAGTTATACACATTTTATAAGCACTACACACACTAGATGCTGTTTGTCAATGTTTGAAGCATTACCGGATCTAAGGAATGTGGAAATAGGACTATTTTCCACTCCAAATTACCAGCAACTAAGACAGTAGGCAAATCTGTGCCTATTTAACCAAATATAGTCTAAATATGTCTGTTATATGTGGATTCATCCTGTATTTTCTTTTGAAGATATAGCATTGTGCATAGGTAAACAGAGGTAAAACCCACTCTTATCTTTTAAATGTTCTCTTTGTATCATTAAATAAAGCAAAATAATAGATTCTAGGGACGCCAAATACATTTATTTTATTTACATGAGCACCTGAACTAGAAGTGGAACTGACACTGAGCATTTAGAACATTAACTTCACTCTACAAGTTGTACATCTAGGCTTTAGTTACTCTGTTTAACCCATTTCATGTATTTCATCTAGGGCTGAAACAATTCATCAGAATAATCGATTATTGAAATAATGTCAACAAATTTAGTAATTGATTAATCGTTAACTGGAGTATAGAGACTCTAAAAAATGTCTTTAGCTCACACTAGAGCAGGAATTATACCAAAATTGTAAATAAAAAATGTTTTCGTCTGTCAGTATTCTCCATACAGAAGTCCTTTACTGTTGCAACAATGCTGTATTGTAAATTAAAAAGATGTTGTTCACATCTAATTGTTTGTAGGGACAATTAGGTCAGTCCAAATCTTTGGTAGGGACATGTCCCTATGGTCCCTATGCAAACCTACGCCCTATGTTGTTAAGTTGAAATGAGGTAGTCTTTTCAGCTCTTATAACCTTTGCTACTGCACACAGTGGATCAATTGATCAAGC